GAACTAGGAATCAAACCCAAACAAGCCCATGGGAGCTGGGGGGTGTGAAATGATGCCCAGTAGTGCATGAATGAATGAGTCACGGGCAGTGGCTCGTGCCTTGGCTGGCCAGTCACGAACTTGGAGAAAATAGAGTTGGAAAATTGGGAGGTAGAGGAGAGAGGTACGCATAGACCTCTTGCTATAGGCCGAGTGCATGACGATACTGGTTGTGCGTGGATGCCTACCAGAGGGTCTTTAAGGTACTGGGGCTCCCTGTAGTCAGGTAAGTGAGATGGCTTGACAGACAATACCACTCAGCCGCACAGGGCTTGCTCATGGAGTCCCTGCACAAAGTGGTCGTGGTGGCTGCGATGGACACTGCATGGGCACAGCAGTTGAGTTGCCACTCACCAGGGCTGACCTGGCAGCTGCCACTCCTGAGGGCCCAGCCCACCAAAAGCAGCTGTTTTTTTTTGGATGGAGAAATAAAACAGGCAATGGCAATTAAGAATAAAATAACATTATGATAGATAAACATGCCACTAAAAATATAGTAGAGATTTAAATAATTTTGAGACTATGAACAAGATTATGTCAATGGGGAGAACTTATTACAAGAAGTTAAAACGGTTGTAAAACTTTATTTCCCCTTCAGGAATATCCAGACTGTTTTACAGATAAGTTATACCAAAACTTTGAAGAAGGCTACTGAATTTATATGTAATATTCAAGAGTATGAGGAAACAGAGAGAAAGCCAGTAAACTCATTATTGTTTATGTATAAATAACATTGATTCTAAAGTCAGCTAGGGAATATATAAGTAAAAGCATGATAGGATAATCACTTCGAAGCAATTAGAGGTAAAAATACTGAGAAAAACAGTACTAGACTGTGTCCACCAATGAGCTATAAATAAATTAAATATCCTGCCCAGGTTACTCATCCCCAGGATACAAGAATATTTACACTTTAAATCTGTAATGCTTTTTATCACTTAATTAAAGAATAAAAGACAGAGATAATCACATTTTGTTAGATGCAGAAATTACTACAGATGAAATTCAACACTCCATCTCACCCACATTTCTTCACTTATCTCCACTTCTAAGAACTTGTGTTCAGTACTCGCTTTGGCAGCACATATATTAAAATTGGAAAGATACAGAGAAGATGAGCATGGCCCCTGCACAAGGATGACATACAAATTCATGAAGCATTCCATATTTTTAAACTCTCAGTAAACTAGGTATTGAAGGAACATACCTCAAGATAATAAAAGTCATCTATGACAACTCACAACCAGTATCATACTGAATGAGCAAAAGCTGAAAACATTCCCTTTTAACACCAGCACAAGACAAGGATGCCCTCTCTCACCATGCTGCACCTACTTCCATTTCCCTGTGAGGTGGGTCCCCCAGGAAGACACTGTGCTGACAGTAATTCCAAACCTGTGGATCAGGAATGTCAGCAGCTCCTGGATAGTGGTGCTGGCGGAGAGTCTGAGAATAGGGGAAAACAAGCCTACCCATG